TGCTGTCCCCTCTGTCCCCTCTGTCCCCGTGCCAACCCTGCTGTCCCCTCTGTCCCCTCTGTCCCCGTGCCAACCCTGCTGTCCCCTCTGTCCCCTCTGTCCCCGTGCCCACCCTGCTGTCCCCTCTGTCCCCTCTGTCCCCGTGCCCACCCTGCTGTCCCCATCTGTCCCCGTGCCCACCCTGCTGGCGCATCTCCTCGCGCACGGCCTGCAGCCCCCCGCGGCGCTCGATGAAGTCGTGGATCAGCCGCGAGGTCTCGGCGTCGGCCAAGTGACGCTCGCTGACCCCGGCCTGCGCGAAGAGCGAGCGCAGCGCGGGGTCCAGGGCGGCCAGCTGGGACAGGGACAGCAGTGTCACACGCTGAGGGGACACTGCCACCCCCCACAGGGGCACTGCCACCCCCCAGGGTCACTGCCACCCCCCAGGGTCACTGTCACACACTGCCGGGTCAGTGTCACCCCATGGGACAACAGCGACCGCAAGGCTGGGTCCAGGGCGGCCAGCTGGGACAGGGACAGGGACAGCAGTGTCACACGCTGAGGGGACACTGCCACCCCACACAGGGGCACTGCCGCCCCCGAGGGTCACTGCCACCCCCAGGGTCACTGTCACACACTGCCGGGTCAGTGTCACCCCATGGGACAACAGCGACCGCAAGGCTGGGTCCAGGGCGGCCAGCTGGGACAGGGACAGCAGTGTCACACGCTGAGGGGACACTGCCACCCCCCACAGGGGCACTGCCACCCCCCAGGGTCACTGCCACCCCCCAGGGTCACTGTCACACACTGCCGGGTCAGTGTCACCCCATGGGACAAGAGCGACCGCAGGGCAGAGCGACCACAGCGCGGGGTCCAGGGCGGCCAGCTGGGACAGGGACAGGGACAGGGACACGCTGAGGGACACTGCCACCCCCATAGGGGCACTGTCACCCCCCAGAGTCACTGTCACACACTGCTGGGTCAGTGTCACCCCATGGGACAAGAGCGACCTCAGGGCGGGGTCCAGAGTGGCCAGCTGGGACAGGGACAGGGACAGGGACACGCTGAGGGGTCATTGTCACCCCCCAGAATTACTGTCACCCCCCGGAGTAATTGTCACCGCCCACACAGTCAGTGTCACCCCATGGGACAAGAGCGACCTCAGGGCGGGGTCCAGAGTGGCCAGCTGGGACAGGGACAGGGACAGGGACACGCTGAGGGGACACTGCCACCCCACTGGGTCGGTGTCACCCCCCAGAATCACTGTCACACACTGCCGGGTCAGTGTCACCCCATGGGACACGAGTGACCTCAGGGTGGGGTCCAGGGCGGCCAGCTGGGGACAGGGACAGCAGTGTCACACACTGAGGGGTCATTGTCACCCGATGGGGTCATCGTCACCCCCCCCAGAGTCACTGTCACCCCCAGGGTCACCCCCTGGGTGGGTGAAGAGCCAGCTCCAGGGATGCCACCTGGGCAGGGACAGCTCTGTCCCCTCCTGTCCCCTCTGTGGGGTCACCCCAGGGGTCACTGTCACCCCACAGGAGGGGACACGGGGGGGAGGTGTCACCTACATCAAAGCCACCATTGGGGTCCCACCCGATGTGACCGACGTGCCTGGGGGGGAGGGGACAGAGGTGAGACCCCCCTGTGACCCCCCCTGTGACCCAGAGACCCCCCCTGAACCCCACAGACCCCAAATCCCCTCAGACACCCCCCAAAACCACCTTACAACCCCCCAGAGCCCAAACCCCCCAGACTAAATCCTCCCAAGACCCCAAAAGCGTGGGGGGAGAAAAAGGGGGGGGCAGAGTGGGGGGAGGGGCGGTTTGGGGGTCCCAGGAGATTTTGGGGGAGGGGGTCCCCTGAGGATTTTTTGAGAGTTTCCAGTGGATTTTGGGGCATTCCCCGGGGATTTGGGAGGGTTCTGATGCAGTTTTGGGTGTCCCAGGTGCATCTTGGGGGTCCCCAGGTGCATTTTGGGGTCCCCAGGTGAATTTTGGGGTCCCAGGTGCATTTTGGGGTCCCCAGGTGAATTTTGGGGTTCCAATGCATTTTGGGGTCCCCAGATGAATTTTTAAGGTTCCTAGGTGCATTTTGGGGTCCCCAGGCACATTTTGGGGTCCCCAGGTGCATTTTTAAGGATCCCAGATGTATTTTGGGGTCCCCAGGTGAATTTTGGGGTCCCCAGGTGGGTTTTGGGTCCCCAGGTGCATTTTTAAGGTTCCCAGGTGAATTCCGGGGTCCCCAGGTGGGTTTTGGGGTCCCCAGGCGGGTTTTGGGGAGGGGTCTCTCACCCCCCCGCTGCTGCCGCCGCCACAGCCTCTCCTGCACTCGGCCCTCGAACGTCGCAGCCTCGGCCTCAGATGCAAAGTTCAGCCCCGCCCACCCCTCCTGAGCCAATCAGGAGCGGCCGTGGGCAGCCAGGCCACGCCCACTTATCCAGAACCACACCGGCTTATCCAAACCACACCCACTTTCCCTTATATGGCAATATCCTACTGGCCACACCCACCACGGACCACAGCCACGCCCATTTCACCTTATATGGTTATGTGCCACTGACTGCCTATCAAAGGCCACGCCCACTGGCAGCCACATCCAGTTTCCTTACATGGTTATGCCCCACCCATTGAGCACAGGCCACACCCACATTGAGATGACCACACCCATAGCCTGGCCACACCCACTTGAGCTAAACCACGCCCCCACTCCAAATTGGCCCCACCCACAGCCCTGCATTACCTTGGCCCTGCCCCCTTTGCCACACCCATTTAAGCCCCTCCCATTTTGCCACACCCACAATGGCTCCTCCCACCTGACCACCTCCAGCCCCACCCACAGACCCCACCCACATTTCCATATCCCCACCCACCGACCCCACCCAAAGCCACGCCCTCCCTTGGCCACGCCCCCAACCCCGCCCACTCACGTGGCTGACGAAGGTGTGGAAAAAGGGGGTGGGGGTCTTGTAGCCCATCCCCCCCTGCAGCTCCTGCTCCCACCACAGCTCCCCGGCCTGGGGGGGGGGATTTGGGGTCAGGGACCCTCCTGGGGACCCCCAAAACCGCCCAGGGACCCCCAAATCCCCCAGGGACCCCCCAAAACCCCTCAGGGACCCCCAAATCCCCCAGGGACCCCCCAAAATCCTTCATTGATCACCCCAAAACCCCCCAGGGANCCCCACCTCCCCGGTCTGGGGGGGGGAATTTGGGGTCAGGGACCCTCCTGGGGACCCCCAAAACCGCCCAGGGACCCCCAAATCCCCCAGGGACCCCCCAAAACCCCTCAGGGACCCCCAAATCCCCCAGGGACCCCCCAAAATCCTTCATTGATCACCCCAAAACCCCCCAGGGA